AAATGGAAGGTGACTAATTGGTGATGATGTGAGTGGGATCACCAGAGGATGTGGGTAGCTCCGAAAGCGGAGTTACATATCTGAAGGATGTTGGGTGACTCCAATAAATGAATTGGGAGGGGGAATGGTTTAGAGGTATGTCAAGGGACGTCAGAGATCCATCGGGAGGTCGGAGCAAATCCGGAGTCTCCGAATGTTCCGACTTGGGACCGAGCTTCCGGGATGGGAGTGGCCAAGGTAAGGTGTGCCGCAACCAGGCCAGAGCTGAGACAGTTAGGAAGGAAGGTGACTTGGGGAGTGGGGAGTTATGGTGTAGGGGATGATGAAGTTGTTAGGAAGGTGTGATGAGGTGGGAGAGTGTGGGGTTGGGATTCCGGGATATGACAGTCTCCCACATGCTCCAGCCACTCTTGGCTCTCCGGAGCATAACGGACTTTTGCTGATGTACCCCCCATGAGGTCCTCAGCACCAGACGCTACGCCTGGACCACCTGGACCGCCTGGACCACCTGGACCGCCTGGACCACCTGGACCGCCTGGACCCTGGATGCACTGACAGTTTGACAGTCTGCAACTTAGGGCACCCATGTGTAAGCATGGCACAGCACTCCTGTGTAAGGGATGGATAGAGGATGGATGATGCACACATTTTTTTATTCTGTTATTCTCCATAATAAACAATGTAAAACACCTGTATGTACTTATATAGCATCCGGGGTCAGGAAAAGGGGCATTGCTCTTCTCCTCCCCCCTGTTCAATACTAGCTCCATATAGTCTACATTATCGACAGCCTGAGGATTGAGGAGTCACCAAAGCTGGCACCCCAGAGTTGCTGAGGCCGAAGCCCTCCGATATTGAGTCTCTCTTTCATTTGGGATCCACATTTCTGACACCCTCTGTCCTCATTCCGGGGTTACATCAACACACTATCCATGCATTTAACACCTTACCACACCTCCAACCCTGTCACTTTTGCTGCTTAGTGTGATGATTTTTGTTAGAGCTCTTCTGCACAGGGGCTATGGTGATAATATTCTCAACTAACCTGACAATACAGGAATAAACTAGCTGCTTCAAATGCTAAAGAAACCACTCAAAGAAACAGGAAAAAGAATCCTGTTTCTTCAACGTGAACGAAGCTTACGTGAATGAAGCTTATGTTCATACTTATCCATCGCTTCATCCCAATAATCACCCTCAAGCTCAAGCTTACTACTACTGCCATCTGATACAGGGCTGCTTGTCTGGCTTTCAGATATATGTTTTAGCTCATCCAGCATCTTCCAAATTGCCAGTGACAGTTGTTTTTGAAGCTTATCCTCAAGGGAGCAAGCAACTTCATAAGATATTCCCATACTGGGAAGGGCCCACGGGAATATTCGACCATGCGAGCCAGGGAGGCTGAACTGGATATCTGTCGAGTTCAAGAGGGTTGCCAGCATGGTGCAGCACCAGCAACATTTTTTAGCCACTCTCATTGTCCTTGGCTTATTAGAAGTACTCTTCAAAGGAAAATTAGCGGCATGCCACCACCAAAGGGGCAGGACACCGACAACTTACATGAAATATCTCCGGAAGTTGGGTATTCTGCGTGTTATTAGCTTGGCCATTGTACTGTACAATGGCACCCATCAGGGATGCCTCGCAGTGGACTGTGCCATGAAACTCCTTGCACTTTCGAAGCTTCCCAACAGATTGCCAGTACCATGTGCGCACCCTCGAGTTGCCGCCTCTGGATTGATCCTCCCAGTCTTTAAGGGTTTTGCTGAATATATTCGTGAAGATTGGCACTGCATCTTCCATTGCTTTCGGGTCGACAGGAGGAGCGGTGATCGCGAGATGGAGACGAAGCCTCGGGGTACGTCGAATACGTGAACTGGAAAATAAGAAATCTGTTGCAGTGATCCACGCGACGGCGTTACCAAGGTATCGCATGGTAAGAGCGACCGGGTCCTCTTCTGTCTCAGCGGTGAGCTCTGAATTGTCGTCATCGGAGTCTTCTGGGTTTTCAGTATTGGAGCGAGCTGAGTTTGTGCTTCCAGTATCGGAGGGAGCTGGGTCTTCTGTGTTTTCAGCATCGGAGGGAGCTGAGGGGTCTTCTGTGTTTTCAGTATTGGAGCGAGCTGATGAAGAGGTTGTGCTTTTAGATCGTGGGGACAACGAAGACATTAAAAATAGTTATACCTCGCCGACGGTTTGACAGCAGGATAGCGTTGACAGACCCCAGCCCAAGCAGATATTTGAACCCCTCTGATTCAACCAATGTTTGGAGCACTTTGAGAGCAGTCGCGCCCACGGCGGTGTCGCCTGCCACTTTCTTGCCTTCTAGCTCGAAACAATCCTTGCACATTGATAGGCACGATAGAAATGCTTCCATCCAAGCTGGAGCTATATCCTTCGTCCATGATGCGAAATATTTCCCGTTGGACCGTCGACATTGGATGCCCACCGTCTGGAATGGGCGAACAAGGCGTTCTGGTATTTCACACTCGGTCTTCACAAAATGGTCCCCGTCGCTAGGTCTCCATCCTTGGAGAATCTTATCTAATGTCGTGTCTTGAAAGATGAACTTGTCGGATCGGAGTCGATGGGAGATGATCGGTGCGCATCGCCGAACGATAAATTCAGTGATACGTCGAACGGCAAGGGCTTGTTCGGATCCACCTAGCCGTACGGTGCGGATATTATTAAATAAAGACATGACATCTGCTGCATGCTGACCCAGAGTGATATCCTCTGGAGGGCGGTCGCTAAATGCAATGGCAATAATGAATCAGGGCTACGCGTAGAAAAGGAAGCCGATCACCTGTTCAATAGTTCATCGCGTTGGACGTCGTTTAGATCTTTAGATTCAATCTCAGTCACAGTGACACCAAATGCAACACGGTCATCTGGTGTGGGATTCTGGGTGACAACAAAATGGTTTGAGAGCCCACTCTCAGGGGTATATGAATATTCGTTATCGTCTCTATCAATCGTCGCAAGGATATTCACGGAATCCACCGTCGTTCGCGTGGCGACTGCAATCGGTCGAATGTTCGGTCCCATTTTGCCTCTCCTCTCATCCGCACCACGAGTGAGGAGTGTGGCAATATGCATCGCAACTTTGAACTCGATTGACGAGGGGCCTTTGGTAGGAGAGCCAGCTTGAGGATCAAGAATTGACAGGATCGTGGTAAGGGCACGAATTCTCAAGTCAATGTCGTGGAAGGCCGTGGTGGCTTGGTGGCTTGCGCTTGGCGCTTGGTGAGCTACCGAACTCAACATAAAGTGGTAGATGGTATATGATTTCGTGGAGGGACAGCAAACCGAATAGCGCTTAAGGTCGTGACCTCGTGACGCTTACATAAGCGAACTTGCGCGTATGTACCCGTACAGTTATTCACGTGCCAATGGTTACTACCCCTCAATGGTTAATAACTGACGAGCTAGTCTGGGACCACTAAATGTTTATCCCCGTGAGAACCTATTCAATCTGGGGAGATAGGTGTCCCCAGAAACGGGCGTTCGGGTAAAGCCGACGCGTCTCTTGCATTCCAAATCGTTGAAAGCGCCGTGAGTGACGCACGCGTCGTTCGACGCGTTCAGCCCCCGATATGACCGTATGTTGCACTATAGATAGGCTTTTGATCACTGGTTTGGGCTCGGCGTCCTATCCATTACAATAGGGGCCATATCCGGTGAGCACAAAATCCGTCGTTCACGTCTTGTGAAAATCGCTTCTGATCCGTGCAGCACCCCGTTTCCTTTTCACATCGCTCAAGGCCATCACGCACGAACACTCATTTGTCCCTGTCGGTTATCGTTGGGCTTTTGACAGGCCCCTCGCTGGTAAGGGCACTCGGGTCAAACCTTCTGCCTGTATCGACACCTCTCACAACACACCCTGCATTCGCCCTCAATCGCCCTACAGATATTTCAGAAGAATCCCCTCGTCGCAGCTAACTGAAGACCACCGGAGGCGCTTAGTGTGTCGCTGGTGCGTCACGGTTAAAGCACGCTCTTCAGCCAATCGAGCCTCCCGGACATACGTCGTTTGTGTGGAACGGTGATTGCTTTCGACGTCCCGTGCAGCTTTATAGCCTTTTTGTAGAGATATCCGACTAAGGAGGGCTGGAGGCTGCACCCTTGCACCGCTAGCGTCTCGTTGTCGTTTCCCTCGTCCAGGCAACACGCTGCAAAGGCCGATCTCCCACTCCGACCCCGTACGACACCCTTCACAGGCATAACCAGTACGAGCCGCCTCATCCCCACATTTCCTCTGAACGGCGCATTACGCGATACACATACCTACCTACCTACCCTGCTCCTCACTCGCGCACAAAGACTTAGATCTTGCTCTCTGTTGTGGGACATCCCCAGAATAGTAATAAAAGCTCTGTGTATCATCTACTGCCATCGAACGGGCGTAAACGGCCTCAACCTGCGGAATTGTTGGCAGTTATCGCAACCCTCTGCATCCCGTTTTCCACGCTACCCCTTATCCAATCCGGATTAGTGGGATCACATTCACATTGGGTCTGAGTAACCGCGAACTCCTCGGTCAGTGCTGGTTAATCCCAGACGGTGCAATCGGACAGAACCTGACCCGACGTGTACCCCCGCCACTGCCTACCACTCCGTGCCCAATACCCACATAGAAGAACCGCTTTTGAAGCTTCAGCGCCCTGGCTTTATTTCCCACTGCAACACGGACAAGCAATCGCTCCGGCTCACCTCGTTTGGTGTCCACCCTTATTGGTGTGTCCTGCAGCCACATCCGCATGGCTGTTCAGCTGAGCGCGCATTTCCTTTACAGATCAATTGACAGCGCGACCCGCGCGTTCTTGTTGAAGGGCCTGCCCTGTTCTTTGCTTTGACCTGAACGCGTTAGTTTTCCAAAGCAACTACACCATGCCGAGGAGATACAAACCTGTAAAGGCTCCCGTTTCTACTTCACCTGTAAAAAGATATCGTCCACATAACCATAACAAACCCAAAAAACATGGCGATCTCCCTAACCCCAACCTGCACGTTATCCTGAATTCTCAATGTCCAATGTCCATGCCTCAGCTCGTGATAACACTGCCCCCCAGCCATCACGACGGGTGGAGATAGCAACCTCCGGTGGCTCTGTGGTGACCCAACGCTGGGGACCAGGAATCCAGTCCACCCATCGGTGGCAGGTCCCAAATCGCCACGATCATGTGGGGAGTGCGATGCTGGCGTGCACCGACAACATCTCGACTCCCCCCTCACCGCAGGCTCCAAAAATGGAGTCACTCATATGGGAAGAATCTCCCCACTCTTGGTTGGAAAATGTTGCAGAAGCCACTATCCCAGGCTCAGACACCCCTTCATCCCCTTCGCCACTGCCACCAGCTCCCAAAAAACGAAACAAGAGAGCATCGCGGAACCCACAAAAGCAGGCAGCTTGGCTTCATTGGCGCGAGAACGTGATATATAAAGCAGTGGGAATCTACTTAGATTTGGAGGCGAAGAAGGCGGGCCGTATATCTCTTGGTACCCCTGGTGAGACGTTGTTTGATGAAAACGGATGCCTGTGCACACCGATAGCGTCGCTCTGCTCTCGTTGCAACACATACCTCCGGTTTCATTCACTCATGATGATCACATCCTCAAGTATGTTGGTATCCTGGCTTCTCTAATAGTGGTTTAATGACCTCACTCCAGGTGCCATGCAGCGTACGTTTGAATACTGCGAATGTCCCTCCAATACCCTCCCGCTTAGCACCATCCAGTCCGGCTACTTTCCCGGGTCATCTGTGATACCTCAGGTTGCCTTCCATTTCGACGTCTTTTCCCTATACCTAGCTTTGAATGTGAGCTTGTCTACTCCGATTGCCTCCTTCCATGCCGCTTTGTTTGGCATATTGTGGGAGAACGGTTATGGATTCCCTGTCAATGTAAGATTCATTATTTGTGTGGCGTTGACATGTACATAATCGCACTTACATATAGGAACCCTTTCTAGGCCCGTTTAGTGAAGCGGTTACATGGTTTAAGGCCCTGCGGGACGTCGTAGAGGTTGAAACAGAAAGAGAGTTTCTCCTACCCACAGGCCCTGCGGAGCTTGATGCACCGCTATGTCTTGACGCACCGCATAAATCTGTAGGGCCTGACCATGATGGATCTGCTCACGATGGCGATCCAACGATCGTACCTCACAGCATGATATCTAGTGATCCTGACATGCCAGCCTCCACGAATCCTCAATTGTTGACCTGTGAGCGAACAAAGCTACTTTGCAACGCCTCTGGCAACAGTGCCAGCCCATACCTCTGTGCGAAATGCCCACAGTGTTTTGGGGGGTCAGTGTGGGGTAGTCCTGCCAATGAGTTGGTCCTCACATCTATTTCAGGAACAGGTATGCTAATTTCCTCCCCAGATACATATCCTGATGTCATTGTCGCTATGGATGGTAATATGCAACATAAGCAGTACATGTTTGTTGGAGGAGAGATGGTTCTTCCCTGGAACGAAACCTGCACATTCCTGACCCAGGCTGAAATAGATGAAGCTGCCCACCATGTCTCTGAGGCACGAGCTGCATCTAGAGGTTCTTTGGAATCTTGTCCTTCATCTCTTGTACCGGATGGCACCATTGATGAATGCAAAGAATCCCACCGAGCCACAAAACATGAAGGGAAGTCAGCCTCCAAAACAGATACCTTCCATTCAAAGGGCCTGATGGCAACCATGTGCCGTCATGATATTCCCCTCTTCCTATGTGACATGCGCACTCCAGGCGAATGGCAACACTTCTCAGTTGCCATGCTCATCGCACTCAGCTGCCAACTTCCCTCAAATGCCACCATTGGACTGATGTATGATGTTGGGTGCATTCTTGATCGATCTGCAGCCAAGGTATGACTTCGCACACTCTGCAGATACAACCTCTGATGTTTGAGTAAAGTATAATCTTATCCCTGAAATTGCCCCCAGATTAAGCATCGCAGTTTCAGTCTTCCATGCTTATGCCCATCAATTCTGTTGTCAAATCGCGTTCCACCCATGGAAATGCAACGGGTTTGGGAAGTCAAACGGGGAAGGGAATGAGCGGTTATGGTCCTCAATGGTTGACATGATAGCGCCCGAACGCATGATGAGTGTGAGTCCCAACATGCCCTATATGTCAGGGACAGCTCCGAAAGCGGCGAGGTCCCTGCGCGCGGGACTCGGTGAGAGGAATAGCGGCTGTGCGTAGCGGCGATCCCGTCGCGGGGTGAGCGTCCCCGACCACTTAGTCTGAAGTGGGAATATGAGTTTTTATTAAAAAGGGGGGACTACACTACTTGCCTGAAGTGGGAATATGAGAAGAAGGCTGCTTCTTCGGTTCCCACTCCAGCCGGTATTATATACATGCGGGATCAGTCACGTGGGGAGCGCCACGTCACCCCTGCACACAGCCACGGCTCTCCGGGTGTCTCCGCGGGAGATCCCGAGAGGGCTCGCTGTAAATGCGGGGCGAGTGCGGCAACGGCGGTGGCGGCGATGTAGGGGTGGTAAAGTACAGGAGGGGAAATAGGCGTGTACGCCGGTGATACATTGAAGAGCGGGAAAGGTGGTCCATGTGAGAGAGAGAGAGAGAAGGAAAGGGAGAAAGGAGGAAAGGAGAGAGGAGAAAGGAAGAGGGTGCGGCGGTGCGGAGCGGGGTCGGGCGGGGCGTGCCCTGACACTATACCATTCGCTCCACAAGCCCGGTCTGATGCAATGTTGCTCCGGAAATATAGCCGGCAAAACGGATTGCAACTATTGACAGCAAAATCAAGCTAATTGCATCCCATGGTCGAGACTGTCTCGCTTCGTTGGCAAGGTCTAAAATGGCCACCATTCTTCATGAGGAGGCACTTTCGACTGAACTTCTCCAAGATTTGAAGAATAGTGGATTCACGACTCGTTTTCTTCAATCCCAGTGGGAAGAGCAAAAGTCTTTGCAGCTCTCCGTTCGGGCTTGTATGCACATTTCCAATCCCACATTTGGTGTTGGCTTATGCTGTTATGTCCTAGACAATGACCAAGCTGGAATGAAAAAGTTCGCAAAACTTTTGGAAGCCGAACGGTCGGCTCAGGCACATTCGGATGCATTGGAAGCCATAAAGAAGGAGCTGGATCGTATCGTCCTGATACGAACAATGGCCGATAGTTCTACCGATCAAGCTGCTCAGCACCTGCAGGAGTTACATGATGAATCCCAAAAATGCTTGCATGATTTGACTGCCCAAATCGGTCTGTCCGATCTGAAACTTCCGCGAAATCCATCTGGCCCAGAAAGGGACTACATCGAGAAATATATTCTAGCCCGGTTCCGCAAACATTCTATACTTATCTGCTTAGCCAAGTACCAGGATGAGATGAACCCTGTTTGAAGCTCCCAACGGCGTGGAGGGCGGCTAGTTGCAAAAGTCGGTAAGCCTTCTCCCGCTTGAGGTGAATGATGCCGTAGTTAAGAGCCTGTCCAGTACTTTAAGGATACTCGAGGATGGTCTCAGTGTTTAGTAGTGCAAACGACCACGCCCAAACCATTTCTGCCCATGTTGCACAATATAACAAGCTTGTCAACAGCCTCGAACATTCCGTCAGACCATCCTGGTTCCCAGACTCTCAAGTGCATGTGAAAATGAATGCCAAAGAGGTGCTCAATATGGACCCCAGTGATGAATGATGGACTAAGATGTGGGAGAGCCTGTGGAACTCCAACTGGTCCCTGGATGAGAAACCACCGGCCTTCATTGTCAATCAGCAGGTTCGCCATGGGATAGCAGTGATGCTATCACTTGCTCGTATTGAGGAAGAAAAGTGCAGGCTTGCCTGAGAAGAACTTAATGCACGTACCTGGATCATCCAATCGGTGGACTCGTTGATTCGAATCATGGACAATATCCATCGTATGTCACATAAGTTCCACTGATTACCTGTATTGCTAATCTTCTTTTTCGATCCCAGCCCTATTCAACCACCGATTGCAACTACGCTTAAGGTTGTCCCTCAAATGCTGTGATACGATCGTAAACGGTCCATTTCCCAACAACAATCTATGGCGTGCATCAGCACACTATCTACTCACAAACTTAGAGCATCCTGATGCCAATGCTATGCCTTCCTTCTGCCTTCTCCCACCGTCTTCCACCACTCTACCCTCAGAAAGTAATGACATTGACCCTGAAGACGATGCTGAGGCCAGAAACGAGCTAAGTGCCCTTAATGGGCTTATTAGGATGAGTCCTGAGCCGGACATAGATGCTGATCATGCTGACCCCGACCTGCCTACCGACGCAGCTAGTGGCCTGGGAAATGCTCTCGACCCTGAGGTGGCCCCAAGCCATGTAGATGACACGCTAGAAGCAGGGCCAGATGGCGCAATTGACCTTGCAGGGAATGTCAAAACATTCAGAGAGCCTCTTGCCAATTTGGCTCCACCTCCTACGGCTATTTGGCATAATCAATCAGGAGATGCAAATAATTCCAGCAGTAATGAGAACATTGAAGAGATGTTCTGGAATCAGAACCCTCGTCCTCAGAGCCTTCCCCCAATTTCAACGATCTTTGATGCTATACGCTCGCCCAGCAAATCCTCTCAGCAACAAAAGCCAACGAAAATTTGGAAGGAAATAATGGAGTTGTATTTGCCTAAAGAATCAGGAAGAGTGAGAATTCCCCTGGCCTCCCACCACTCATCCCACTGATGCTCCATTAGATGGTGAAACAAGACGGCCAGACAAGATACTACAAACACATCACAATCTTCCCCGATGCACTAGTAATGGCCAATCACTGGCAGCTGATAGATGGCACGATAATTGATGCGTACATTGAGATGCTGAAAGACCTCACTGACAAAAACCTGTGGGACCTGCTCAGTACCACCCGACCCCAAGTGATCATGTTTCCTACCCAGTGTGAGGGAATGTGACATCATTTGGCAGTTCGCCTATTGGATGTATGTTGGAGTGCACTCTTCAACACTGTGCTGACCAGTTCCTTAGCGAGCAACAAAAAAGATTCGAACTGATCTTTTTGAAGCAACCAGTTGGACAGTCCCATGCTATTCAAGGAAGTGCTGCCACTGGCTTCTTGGTGTTGTGAACTTTGAAGAGCAAGAGCTGCGCTATCTTGACAGCAAACCCATCCCCGAAACCTCCAGTATAAACTGCCACGGCCCATGTTGGGTTTTTACAGTGCATTGCCCGATTCTAGTCCATGCCCCAGTGTTAGTGATACCCTTTCTACAGATACTCCAACAACTGGTTGACGCTGTCTGGTCGTTCACTCACCCTGATGGTCAGCACGGGTTCAACTGGTTCAATTGGACCACGAAAGTAGTCACTGTAAGTATACTATCTTGCTTCGACTCGAATATGACATTCATTAACAGTCCCTAGATGGAGGAACGACAACGGAATGGGTATGATTGTGGCGTGTGGGTCATGGCCGATGTTCAAGCTGTGCATGTTGGGCTTGACACCACTCCACTGGACACGAATATTGATAGCTTTCGAGATCAGGTAAAACACCAAATCCTTTCCCTCCCCTAACAAATCCCTGCTGGCTGCCCACCTGGAAAACCTTGGACCCCCACCTCATTCATGAACTGCAGCAGCAAGCTGCTGAAGTAGCAGCAAGATTTCCCGTCAATTATGCCCGACTTGAGATCGACCCCAGGGACGCTCCAATAGTGATGGATAGTGAACAAGAACAAATAGATTTAAGTGACTAGTAGGCATTCCCTGTACACTTGGTTCTGAACTCGTATCTAGTTCCCCCAAATGACATACCCCATTGATCTTAATTTCTTCATGGAAGATTTACATCAGAGACATCAGAGACGCAGTGTGTGAGAGTCTACGTCCCGGAGAACATCCCAGGTCCATCCCCTGGAACGATGATCACTTGGAGTTCGTCATGGAACACGAAGACGACCCGGACTTCCTCTTCGTCTACTCCGATGGGTCCAAGACAGATGAAGATGGCCAGAGAGTCACAGGCTATGGTGTAGTAGGGTACTCAGCGGGCGATATCGTCTTCGAAGGGAACGGTGCTATAGGAAGCAATGTGCAGATGAGCTAACAAAGGAAAGTGCCCACATTAGAACAGACAGGCCAGGTTACCACTCACTCACATATGTAGAGAGCCTACACAGAGCAGAGATGGAAGAAGCGTGGAAGGCACGATGGTCAATGGCACCCAATCCCCCCAGCTCCGGATTCCACCTAGCGAACCATATCGCCCTGACACTCAGACTCACCCTGAGGTTTTAAGTCACTAGACTGAAAAACCTTTAGCAGACTAATCCAGTTTCGGACATGCACACATCGGGGAATACTCATCTTTCTCATCACTAACTTCGTCAGTATCAAGCAATTTTGCCATGTCCCCAGCAAGTCTTCCTACATCGGCACCTTTACCACGAAGCTCATCTCCAACGTCCCTAGCGATTTCCCAGTGCTGAGCTGTGTCCAAGGTTTCAGGAGGTGGTACCTTCTTGTCGATGTGCAGTTTAATGATGTCGATCTCCACCAAGCATTTGACATTTTCTTTCAATAGCGCCTCCAAACAAACCGCTGGCAGAATTTTCAGTGCAGCTTGCCACACTGAGTGTCGTGCACATTTGAACAAGGTGTCAAAGGTGGCAGGCTCACCACCTGTGCTTGTTGTGGAAGATGGCGTCTCTGAGCGTGCCCAGGGTGTTGGCCCTTCGTTCACAGTGAGATACGTAATCCCATTATTATTCGATCCTGACATCGATTGCCCTCTAGCTGGAGTGCTGTTGGGGGTTGGATGAATCAACTTAATAGGAGGGATAACCATTGAGGTATGCGATTCTGGAACCATTTTGCTGGTTTGTTCCGTGAAGACATCATTTTGTGGGATGTCAGTAAGTTGCGGCTTGCATTCTGGTTGGGATCTGGAGCGTACTTCCAGTGAGAACGTGGGCAGGTTGAGCAGCTCTATTTTTGAAGGGAGTATCGGTGACAATGACCCGCTGGATACAGGTGAGTTATTATCCGGTGTCCCCGATACCATGTCATCACCCTGTGGTCCTGCCGCCTTATTCTGTGGCAGTCTAGCTTCATTCACCTGACTGTTGTTCCCAGGAACCATGCGAGGAGGCTTGGCCTTTGCTGGAGCATGCGTGCGGGTGGCTTTGGACTTCTTCCTAACTCGCTTGGGAGATGGAGACTCTATCTTACCGTCTCCGACCGTATTCCCCTCCAGTGAGTCTGGTAAGTCTGCCTTGCATTTCCTAGGTCGTGCCACGGTGAGCGCAGCTTTGGCAACTGCCCTCCTCGCCTCATTTTCGGGTAGCATGTATTTACACTCCCATTTGCATCAGGTGCGTAATGGAGCACCTCACGCTTCTCATACTCCTCTGGTGAGTCATAACCCATCAGCTGTGCCCTTTGGAACTTCACTGACATTCCCTTACCTTCTGTCATTGTCTCGATTCTCAATTTCTGTTCAGGGTCGGAGTGGTAGAGCTGCATCATACCCCGAGCAGACTCATGTGGGGTCCAATCACGGGGGAGCGACTCGTTCAAATGTCGGACGCCGCGATGCCAGCCGGCAAAACGGAGATGATGCTCAAGTAAGAATGGAAGTATGTTTGCAACCCTCCAGTCGGTCCCGAGCTCACTTACACATGTTGCCTCCTCTGACACCAGATATCAGATAGGCAATGTGAAGTGCTCTGTCAAAGTAGGATGTACATATCATTGTTTTAAGCCGCACAGCAGCCTCAGTGCAGCGTCGGCTATGTGGGCCATATGACTTGTCTGCCATGGCAAGGCTGTCTTTCCTTTTCAATATCGGTGTATGATAATCGATGTCGTTTTCGTCCATGGCCTCCGTCTTCACCGTAAGGTATTTGTCCAGGCTATCATGGAAATGGACACTTTGCCTGGCAGTTGCTACAACAGACTTCATCAAGCCTGATGCGCCAAACTCCTCATTGTTGGACTTGTCCGGGTTCGTGAAGGCACGAAGATGATGAAGGAAGCTTCTGCAGTAATTTCAGCTGATGGGGACCATGAGGACGAGGTGCTCATACCTCTGTTTGCTGATATCGGGTTGGTATGGGCTAAAAGAATTACGAGTAAGCTATCTGCACTTTCCTGTGCTTGCGCAGCGTACCTGAAAGCCTTTATGCCATCATACAGATTCCTTATGGCAAGGGCTGCATCCTCAGTGAGTGGCAGACCCATAGCCTTCACCATTTCTGCCATAATCGGTGAGCTGGTGAAAGCTACTGTGGACTGTTCCGGGGGGACGGTCTCATCCGCTACAATCCCACTACAGTGATGCCAATGGGATGGGTGGAACTAAGTGTGCAGACCTATCACAACAACATGTAGCTGCTCCGCTTAATCTACTTCACCTGTGCTGGATATTTTCCTGTCATTTTCTGAAGCAGGTGGAGACTTTCATTAGGTTGGGTCTCTCTTTCATCCTTAGACAAAATAATGTCTCCGTAATGCATGAGAACTTTGTCATAAAAGGCTTTCGTTTTGTCCGCCCTGTCTGGATACTTCTCCTCGATTTCCAGATGCTCTGACTTGCGGAGGCTTGCTGCATCTTGGCTATCGAGTCCCGCTGAGAAATGATTAGTCTCTAAGATGAGCTGTGAGCATATTGTTAACCTATGGTGAAGCTTAAGCCATGTCTGCCAAGTGGTTTGGCCTGTATCAGTCGTGTTATGAGAGCGGAACTTCTTCATTACTTCTTGGGGGGACTTCCCCCTTTTCTGGGAATATGCGGCCATACACGTCTCCATGAAAACTGCACAGTGTTGAGAGCTTCTAAACAGTTTGAGCAGTGAGGAAAATAATGCACCTTCAAAGCTGAGGTCGTCTATCACGGATGCTTCATCAAGTATATTCCCAATACCTCTGACTGCCTTGACGGAGGTGTGCCCCCATAGCTCTTGCACAATGTTCTTTACAACATCCTCAAGGGAGGCAAGGGGTTGGAACTGTGGCATATCTTTCGTGGAAGTGTGTTGTCCAACCAGGCTCCTCAGATGGGCAAAAGGGCCATCCGTAGCCTTCAGAAAGTCATTCACGGAGGGCACTGTTGTCAACAAAGTCAGGCTGTTGGAAAAATTGGCCCATAACGTGAGAATTGACGCGTTTGACGCATCGCCAGATGCATCCAGCAAGGGAGGGGGCATTCTGAGCTGGTATCTTGTTCTAGGGCCATTCACCGTTTAGGTGGAAACGGAAATTTTCCTTCAAAATTTGCATCCGAACCATCAGATTTGATTTATTAAACAAACTTTAGGGGAGAGGTTTGTATCTACACCGTTTTGTGCATTCCTGCGCCGTTCAACCCACCATCTGCACTGCAGTTTTGTATAATGGAGCTGACATGTTATTCAAATGAATCCTCCACTATCCTGGCCCCTGTCTCCTCTGTGGCATGGCTGCACCTGCAGGACCAACCACAAGCCCGTTCTCCCTTCATTTTCCCCTTTGATTTCTTCACGGTGTCTGGTGGATGGTACAGGGACTAGGTGGCGCTCCGGGACATTGCGCATGCCTTAATCGGAGCCGCACATTGTATTTGATGTACGTCAGGGTTCCAATATAAATAATCGGTGTGTGTACAACAAGCCCCTGGTTCTAACTTGTGTATGTTGGCATGGGTCATCTCCCCCAAGCAGCATCCCCTAGTAACCCAAACGGCGCATCTGCACAAGGCCTGCATGAGGGCTGGTCCGTTTGGTGGTGGCAGTGCCAACTCCGTTTGACCACATCTATTATCCCATATTGAATTATCACACGACCACATGCATTCCCTCCGAACGGGGCAATGCCGGCTGTCTGGGACTAACTTGATGGGTTCACTATGCAGATTTTTATTGAATTGTTGCGAAGGCTCGTAAAGGGTCTCTTGTATCCATTTCCCAGTTTGTTACCCAATACAAAAGATCACATGTCGGGACATGTCGGGTTCTCATTTCTCCTCACACCGAAAATTTGCCATATGAGTGCTTTGATCCTCCATGATGCACCATCTCTCAAGTGTAATGAGTATGACAAGAAGCTTGATGAGCTCCGTCAGAGTTTGAGATGATTTGAGACTCGCTCCGAAGAATGGATGGGTGCAATATTGGCGGAATGGCTGGGAATTAAGGAGCCCCGACCATGGCAAATTTCACATTCCCTCGACCTATTCAAAGGACAGGAAGTGTTCCTTACATCTAGAACTGGAAGCGGGAAGTCAATCCTCACCCTAGCACCGGTTATTGCCTGCGAAGTCGCAGGAAAGGATCACATTGCCATTGTCATCTACCCAACTGAGTCACTAATAATTGACCAAGTCAGTATCTGTCTTCAATATCATGCCGCACTTACGGACCAAATAGAAATCTAGGAGTTCAAGGCACATCAGAAGGGTGTCCGCTTCATCGGAGTGAGTGCAAGCATCCTAGCCTCAATGGCTGCCAGAGAAGGATGGGATCTGTGGAGGGAAATTAGCGACGGAATATGGGATGTGATTGGGATGGGCCCAGAGATGCTTCAGAGCCCACCAGTGGCCAAACTATTCCACAATGAATGTTTCATACGGAAGCTCGGGTTTGTCTTCATAGATGAAGTCCACCTTGTACTTCAATGGGGATTGTCATTCCGAAAGGACTACTTGAGACTATGTGAACTGCGTGCACGATTACCCACACGCATCACTTTCCTTGTGATGTCAGCTTCCCTTCATGAGGACTCCTGCACCAAACTCCAGGGGATCCTAGGGTTCAAGAAGAATCAGTTCCATAACATTAAACTACCGATTGACTGCCCTGACTTGAAATATTGTGCTCGGTTCCTTCTCAATTCCACCGAAAGCACAACATTTCCGGACCTTCCTTGGGTCATTCCACAAGTTATCAATTCACCGATTGATCTGACCCCGACCTTGTTTGCGTGCCATACCATTGAAAAAGTGATGACACTTTGTCAGTGGCTTGTGGTGGAACTAGTGGAGGGACTACCTTGGATGGATGTGACTCAGTGTCGCAAAGCAGCGACAAAAATGGTATCTCCATTTCACGCAGAAATGGATGACAGTGACTGTCAAGCAGTCCTTGCTGCCCTTCGTGCAGAGACCATTCGATACATAGTGGCCACTGTTAGTGCTAACGTTGGGATTGACATGACCGTTACCAATGTTGTCTGCGTCGATCTCCCCCAATCGATTGAAGGGTTGTCACAATGGGCAGGGTGAGCAAGTAGAGATGGCAGTGGTGGGGTATTAGTCATGTACGCAAGTGAGGATCTCCGAGTCATACCTGCAGAGCACCGGGATTTGAAGACGTATATCCCATCTAATGCAAAGGCCCTCACAGCAGCAAAGATCGAGCAGTCTGATAAGGTCCAAGCCATGACACAGCCCGCACTAGTCGAGTTCTTGAATCCTCACCACAGCGAATGTCCCCACATTGTGCTATGCCATTACTTTGGTGATGAGTTCAAGAAAGTCACACACTGCTGTGAGCAGTGTGACCCCGGGCCTCTCCAATCCCACCTTGCAACCGTTAGAGACTACATGGCAGTCATTGCCGGAAGAAAACCGAAAAGGGGCAAGCAGGTCAGCCGCTTACCAGGAGAGAATTTCCACAAGCCACCCAAGGACCTTCGCAAGCGCGCAAGGGGTGAGCTGCTGCATTGGAGGGATGACATCTGGAGGAAGCGTCCATTCAGTTTTGACTCTCCTGACGATATCTCACCGGAATTTATTGTTGGAGAGTGTGACATTCGCAGCCTTGCAGAACGGCTACATACAGTGTCCACATGCGATTGGCTTAATTTTGTGGTCAATGGCTGGATATCGATTGTTCCCTTGTCTGAGGCCGAAAAAGACGAACTATGGGCCAAGGTTCAGGCATTGAACACGGAATTACAAGGAATCATCATTAGGCATCGGGAGGCAGAGGCACAGAAAAAGAAGAAGACAGCAAAGCGGAAGCTAATACCAGGCAAGCTCTTGACTCCTCACACAAGCGATGTTGCTGGTACAGCAATAGACAGTGGTGGGCTGTTGGAAGCAACAACTTCCAAGAGCAGGAGCACACAGGTGGAGAGGGAACAACAACTGTTGAGCTGGGGGAGGAAGGGAGATCAAAGCACAAGAGAGTTAGGTCGGTGCGTGGGCTATTAATGGATGAGGCAACACAATTAGAACAGCAGGCATGTACACAGGAGAGAAAGTCACGCACAGATTTCTAGATTGGGTACTTACCTGTCAAACGACATGCTTATCCAGAAAGTTGTTCAGTGCACTATCTCGAAGTTTGGCATAGCCACACGAGAGTGCATCAATTGCCAAGTAAGATTGTGATCGGTTTGGACGATAGAGATGGTGTTGCTGGACTAAGTATGAGTGACCCAGCAAGTTGATGTCTGCTGTCAGTTCAGCATCTGTTCGGCTTGAAATGGTTTGGTGAAGACCCAGCCGCTCCTTGATTTTGTTTGCTAGTTGACCAAGTGGCACAACATTCAAGGAGACGGCCTCATGGATGAATTTTGAATCAAATCTCGCCAAGCGCCCATTGTGTACACGCTTGATGGCAAGGTTGTGGTGCTCCTGAAGTAGGTCTCTCTCCTTTCGCCCTCCAAGAAGCCCTGATACATTTAGAATGTACCAGTCAAACACTGCTTTCTTTGTCGCCTCGGTGAAATTGAACCATAAGTCAAGGGCTTGATGTAAAAGCTCGTGACCATAGTTGCTTGCCCTGACGCCGAAGAACCACACATGCAGCCACTGTGATTTGGTTAGTACAGCATAAAAATAAACTTAAATTTCAACTATGCTCACCTTAATCACTTCAAATGTTCAACCTATGTCTCCTTCCTTCACGCTAGTCTTGAACTCCCAGTACTGAAGGAGATCTCACCATAGGAACACATTGTTGTGCATCAAGGTGTCACCGATTCCATTGTTTGGCATCTCAAAGGTGAGATTTTCGTCCTCGAAGGCCAGGTCAATGTCAGTTGACGGTCCAACGTGATCATTGGTGATGCCGGTGTCGTCTTCACTTTCATCCCCATCACCCTCACTGTCATTTTCGCCTTGCTCACCGCTTCCCCCCACCAATTCAGTGGTCCTTCGGGTATTGGGAAATGTGAGTCCAGCTGAGGATCAATGAAGCAAGCAAAGTGGGCCCGAGCATCGCTCACACTGTGTGACACAGCCATGTAACCGGACCGTGTTGAACCAAATGCGTGGTATGTGTCGCGAGTGAGTTGGCAAAGTTCCTCGAAAGTGCATGAATGGAGATAGTATCCCTCCTTTGTACACGCTTCCAGCTCTTCTGTAAGGTGCATCAGCTTTCCATCTTGCCTCATCGGGAATTTCAATGACTTTTGACGAAGCATATTTCTAAAATCTCATATATGAGTTGTGGAAGTGGAAGTGGAAAGCGGGAATACCTGATGTAATTTAGTGTCATTGCAGTGAGCATGACTTCAACAAGTCTCTCAGCTGGGTAGAAATTGACCTTGTTTGGGTTTAAATTTCGGTGGAGCTTATCAGCGGCAAAGCGAAGGCTGATGTCACCCTTTTTGGTCTGCTCTGGCCAATGCACCTTGATGATACCCTTGAGCATTTCAAACTTCATGTGCCAAAGCTCAATCAGGGGTAGGATATAATGATTGGATGAGAACCAAGTGGACCCTGAAGAAGTGTGACGCTTGAGAGTTCAGATATGTGAGATCGTGGCCTGATCACCAGAAAATGGTATGAGGCACCCCTCGAGAGCATGTGGAGGGATGCGGAGTTGGTGCTCAACAACATCCCGAATTGTCTGCCGGTTTCCTATAGTGGTTGCCTCATCAAAGCCCGATGTCTCAAGGGGAATGACTTCCGTTTTCTGGAGTGGCGTTGGGTGAATGGCAAAAGTGTGTCTGAGATCATCAAAATCAGTCTTGTGTCGCCTCAGGCCAGGTACATGATCAAGTAAAAGGCGTAGTATGTTGATGACACAGACATTTTCCAGATGTTTTCGGTCAATGTCCTCCCAGATCTCTGCTAACGTGATGTCCTCACGTTTGACATGTTGCCGGCATCCCTCATATTCAAAGCTGTCAAAAGCCTCGGGAGCCACACCCAGCTGCATAATTAGTGTCGCAGCAGTCCCACTTTCTAGAGATGTTTGTGAAGAGAGGGAAGGTCGCCAGTTTTGGTGGTATTGGTTGATGTTATCATAAACAACGTGAAATGACACAAGTTTGTTGACCCAGTTTGCTCCTACAGTGCGAATTCTTTTGGATGCAACTGCACTCATTGAGTACAGGCGCTTGAGTGTTGAGCTGTTTGCAACTGTGAGTCCCATTCAGCCAGTGATTGACTGAAGCGACTTGGAAGAATTCTCAGAGAACATGAGTATCCCCATGATACTCTGGAATTTGTTTAGCCCCTTATTGCGAAAGTACAGTAGCATCATCAGTGCAATGGCACATCCCTCAAACACTGTCAGTTGCTTCTCTGGCAGGTACTGATTCCTTTACTCACTAAATAAGGGTCCCATACGTGATTAGCCCCACATCCCTTCCCTGAATCCTTGAACTTCATTTCCTTTAGTTGTGCAGCTCTCTCTCCACCGACTGCAATCCATGTAAGCAGCATCCAGGTCACAGGCGCAACGCTAACTGCAATCTTCTGGACTGCATCAACTGAGAAGTCTAGGACCGTGTCCCAGCTGAATTGATTTGTGGATGTATCCCTTGCTCGCAAGTAAGGGGATTTCAGTAGAACTCTGATTTCCGATTCCATTCAGTCAATGACTTGTGCAATGAAGTAGTGTTGTAAGTCGCTGTATGTGTTTTTGCTGTCCATCTGGGTGTTTGGCTGAGAAAACATTGTTGGAATGGCATATTCTGGCAATGTGTCATAGCGGGGTTCAGGGGTTCATAGGCCGTGCCCATGGGTGGTTGTATAATGTGTGTACAACATCAACTGGATGGTTCTTCACAGTACGTCCCCCTATGAACCACTTCAGCATCTCCTTTGCTGATGCACTGAATCCTATGGGGTTGCTAAACAGAATAACAAGAAACTCGCTGAGCATGAAGTTCTGTGACTTCAGTATTGACAGTACGAGTTCTACAATTGCAGGAGGCTTGAGCCTCAGCCGATCATTCTTTGGGTATATTTGCTCAACAGTAGAATTGTGACACATGGAACACCTGAAGGTGCTTGGCTGTGTATTGCTCTGCCTTGCCAGTGTCTGGGAACAACTAGAAGCCATTGGTTCCCACATGACAGGGTCGGGCGGATTTTGTTTTCTGGTATGCACTTCTCAGTTAAGCCTCTTGGATGGCGAGAGTGTGCCTCTAGTTGACTCCACCTGCTGACCAGTAGCAGCGGCAGCTCCCCTTGAATTTTCACAGATTTTTTTTACTGGGGAATCTTTATCCTCCATAACTTTGCGTTTGGGATGGCCTCGTGATGGGATTGAAGGTGATGCATCACTGTGAGCTTTATTGGAAGAAAATCTTGCTTGTGGGCTATAGCCAATATTTCCTGTTGGACCAGAGGTATAGAAATGAGGTAGAGTAGGGATTTTGACCATGAATGGATTCATCAAAGGACCTGACACACCCGATGGGCAATTTGGATGTGTTTGTACAGTAAACATAAACAAATAATTTTTATTCCAAGTTCGTCCTGGAATTCAACCCAATCATATTGATTATGTAAGGCATGGCAACAGCGAAGACCCTTTTCCAACTGTGACAACCATTCAGTAAAAATCCCCATTCATGAACCAAGGGTTGAATCCAGCCTACTGACGAGCACTGCCTGAAGCGGCAAAACCCGCCACTCAACCTGCTGAGAAGCAAACTGTGCACTGGGGGAAGTAAGGCGATGTAAAAAACCATTTTTTGGTCCGTTTTTTACCATTTACCGACATTTTCGTGGTATTTTGAAGATGGTAAATTACAGCATATTCGCGGTGCAGGTTGAAGGCTGGTTTTAAACTTCGTAAAATACCACTCTGTCGATGGTATTTGAACTACAATGAATTTTACATGAGTTTGGACATATGTACAATGTGTTAGTCATCATCATCCATGCTGAAAACTGGCCTCGCAGGCTCGCTACCGCGGTCTATAGTAGCCCAATTAGGGCCTGAGTTCATTCCACAATGAAGCCAGCCACAAACTGACGATACAGATGCAAACACAAGAATTTGTGTAGTGTAGGAGAGTGCAGTAAATGAGGTAGGCGGTAATGCCACATCCAAGCACCACTGCCTGAAATGAGGGTGAGGTGTCATTTGTTCTGAAGTAGGGACAACACGTTCGAGAATTTCATGCAGTTCCCCATAACAGATCATCCTCAATAGATGGAGATTCGAGTTCACAGCGCCAGTGGGGGGAAGACTAGGAATGAAATCCGGAACAGCCAGAACCAATAGATGTGCTAGCACAGAAGACATGGCGAAGTCTGGGCCGTCGTTTTCAGCAATTTCCGTGGGACTTCACGACTTGACCTTCCTCCACATTTCAGGTTTGACCCCTTGTTCATTGTCTCTCAAACCACTCTCTCCTCTCTCTCACTGCTTAGATATCTTGTTCCACCGGTTTTTTCTAAGGTGAGTACTTATAGTTTGGTTGGATGTAACGGTGCTGATGGCAATCATCATGAAGGTTTCATATATGGATGTGTTTTCATGCGTCTTTGCATGTTATTTACTGACCGAGCCCCAGGAAATATCATTTCTTCTCTTATTTCATGCAGAGAACCAACATGTCACCAATGACAAGCAAGGTAAGATTGGTCTTCCTGACCCATGCCTCTGCACTGCCCACTTCCTAGCTCAAAAGACAAAGGTTCCTGACCCATGCAGGACAAAAGACATGAAGTATAACCCTCAGGAAGTGTTGGATTATACTCGTCTTCACAGTAAGAGGTTGAATTGACTTCATCTTATTGCTCTCTAATTCTCTCAATTTTCCCCATCCCAGCTTCTGTTGTGACATTGCCCAAACCTCGCATGCCTCTTCTAATTCAAATGGGGTTATTTTGCCCAAAAGTACACTTGCCGCTTCTCCCTTCTGCCATTCCTTTGCTACCCCACTTCTATTCCAAGGACCAATCAAAAGGCTCCAGGGCGAGTAGAGTTTGAAAGCAAGGATGATGATTGAACTCCAGAAACTTCGATGCCAGTCATCTTTCATTTGGAGCTTTGCTTATTTCACTCAAAGAATTATGGTTATCCTCACTGTAAACTACCATGATAATAGTTGTGAATGATGATAATGGCCATATGTTTTACCAACCACAATCATCATAAATTACCAAGCCCATGGCGTAAAATACAAAGTACGATGGTTGTAAAGTGACCGTTTACCACCGTTAAACTAATCAAAAATGACCAAAAAACAAGTAATTTACTCTCATAATCATTGTAATGGAACCTTGGTAAAATATTACATACTTGATCATATAAAACTACTCCGCTCATCGTAAACATGAGTGTATTTTACCATCTTTAAAATGGTCCTTTACACAATTCTAATTCCCACTGTGCGTGGTTGTTCAACTGCAAGCACCAGTGGACACACATCTCTTTCCAACATCAAATCAACCGGGGCATGCAGTAAACCTCATTACAAGCAATCTTAGAAATCACTGTCAGTGGTGTTTGCATGGCAGGACGAAGGTCCCAACAATGGACTGCCCAACAACTATCACTATTATGTATTTGGCTCAGTTGTGGGAGCGATTCAGACACCACCGATGTTAGAACCAGCTACATACGGACCAATCACCCAATCACAAATCCTTAACTCCTTCGACAGCAGTTGTTACACCAATGGTTGGTATTGCTCAGCAGTATCTTGATCACTGAGAGATCCAAAGCACAGTCAGAATATAGAAAAAGATGGAAACCACTGCTTGCCTGGGAGGGAGAGCAAAGATGTGGTAATGAGATCGCCTGCATCCTTGGCACTCTTCGAACATCATACTGCCCACATCGGCTGACAGGTGCTCACTGTGAATCATTAGGTCCAGCAAAGTATCGGAACGTTGTTGTGGGGACAAGTCCGTGCAGGTCAAACCAACACTTATCACACATTTCACCCCCTACTGCATCAGGGACTAGGGTTGGCGAGTTGTAGTAATGATAGGAGTTGTAGAGACTGTGGAGGTGGTTCTGACGAGTCCAAGATCGTCGGATTTGGTGGAGTGGTTGAGGAGATATGACTTGTTCTTTATTTTCCTTACTATTTTCATTCATTCACGCATGTGACTTTCCTTTTATATTTGTATCGGACTCTTCCATGACAACTGTACAGACAGTTAGCTAGAGGTTAGACAGAGTATCAGCACCGTACTCGCAGGACCCACATCTACCTGAGAGATAGAGAGAGACCTACCCCCCCCAGACCTGAGTTGCAAGTCTAGATTGATAGACCTGTTACAACGTACTGTTCCACTCACCTGAGTGCAGCCAACTCAATGGGCAACCAGATACATGGGTAATGACCAACCTGGAACCAGCATGTGGTGCGCCAGATAATCGGAGTTGCGCTAATGAGCCCATGGTGGTGCAAGCACCCATGGCCTTGAGGTTCTTCAAAGATGTGCATCATTTTTGGCTGGGGGGGAACATGAGTTCACCTTGAATGCTGCCTTTAGTAAGAATACCAGAACGCTTTGCAGCTGTTCAGGGGCAACTGTCAGGGCACACCTGCCTGACCTGGCCCCACCCGGCCCCACTTCACCTGGTACCCCGCCACCCAGTCCTCTCCTACCTCCTCCCCCCTTCCTCTTTCTTTCTCTCCCCATTTCACTTCCTCTTCACTTTCTCTTTATTTTCTCTTTATTTTCTCTTTATTCTACACTGTTAGAACTGGGCAGAGTTGGACGACTCCGGAGTGGAATCGGAGACTTAGCATGGAAGGACCTCGGCCTCAGCGACTCAGGCGGAGCACTGTGCCATTGCTGGTTGTCCTGGGGGTCCCTAATTTCGGATCTAGCAGAGGGAAAGTCTCTTGGGGGGAATTCAGGTCGATTTCGGACTGAGGTTACAAGTTACTAGGTACATTGTATATAAGGAGGGGTCCGGAATCAAAAGGAACAAGGGTAGGACGAAAGGAGACAAAGGGAGATGGAAAGAGGAACAACACTGAGGGTCAAGGGTTTGACTCAATGGTGTTTCCCAAAGGAGGAATGAAGGGCCAAGGCCCAAGGAGGAAGGAAGGAGGTTGGGAGTGGGGAATGGCTAGCTGACTGAATAGAAAGGAAGCAGCAGCCCAAATAGGAATGAGGGAGAATAGCAGAATTGAATAGGACAATGCAATAGTTGCAAGGTCCGAGGTAAGTCCGGAAAGTCCGAACTCGGAAGTTAAACTCCGGAATATTGGCAAAGGTAATTAAATGGAATGAGCTAACCAATACAATGGGTATAAGCAGAGGTGGGGTCAAAGTCTGAGGTTGGAGCTAAGACCGGAGGTTCCGGAGACGGAGACACAAACAGGATACCGGAGTGGAGGTCTGGAGTTGGGATCATAGGTTTTGCGTACTCGTCTGGAAGGTGTCGAGGTTGGGGTCAGACCCGGAATGTTCTGGAGTCGGACCGAAGGTGGTGTCCAAGCCGGAGGTGGGATAACCTCTTGGGAGTCGGCAAGGAGAAGGTGAGGGAAGGGAAGTAGGACTCCGGAAGTCAGGTTCGGAGTTCTGGGAGCCTGGAGCGGAGGTCGGGATTGTATGGATATGACATACACGGATGACCTTTCTCTGTATCAATGTACCATTGACCCACCTGCAGCATGCTCATGACATGCCCAGCCCGGGCGCTTCAGGCAACTCCCTGCTATGTCCAGCTCACGCATTCACAGTGGATGCCCTCGGGATCTCCCATGGAGACACCTGGGTGATTATGGCTGTGTGCAAGGGTGATGTGGCATCCATCAGGTGACCTAAGCTGCATGTATATAAACATACCTGAAGTGGGAACCGAAGAAGTAGCCTTCTTCTCATCTTTCCACTTCAGGTAAGTGTTAGATCGGGCAGATTCAGACGACTCTGGAGTGAAATTGGAGACTTAGTGTGGAAGGACCTTGGCCTCAGTGACTCAGGCGGAGCACTGTGCCATTGCTGGTTGTCCTGGGGGTCCCTAATTTTGGATCTAGCAGAGGGGAAGTCTCTTGGGGGCATTTCAGGTCGATTTTGGACTGAGGTTACAAGTTACTATGTACATTGTATATAAGGAGGGGTCCAGAATCAAAAGGAGCAAGGGTACTCTGAAAACAGACAAAGGGAGCTGGAAGGAGGAACAACACTGAGGGTCAAGGGTTTGACTCAATGGTGTTTCCCAAAGGAGGAGTGAAGGGCCAAGGCCCAAGGAGGAAGGAAGGAGGATGGGAGTGGGGAATGGCTGACTGACTGAATAGAAAGGAAGCAGCAGCCCAAATAGGAATGAGGGAGAATAGCGGAATTGAATGGAGCAATGCAATAGTTGCAAGGTCCAATGTAAGTCTGGAAAGTCCGAACTCGGAAGTTAAACTCCGGAATATTGGCAAACGTAATTAAATGGAATGAGCTAACCAATACAATGGGTATAAGCAGAGGTGGGGTCAAAGTCCGAGGTCGGAGCTAAGACTGGAGGTTCCGGAGACAGAGACGCAACCAGGATTCCAGAGTGGAGGTCCGGAGTTGGGAGCATAGGTGTTGCGTGCTCATCTGGGAGGTGTCAAGGTTGAGGTCGGACCTGGAATATTCCAGAGTTGGACCGAAGGTGGTGTCAGAGCTGGAGGTGGGATAACCTCTTGGGAGTTGGCAAGGAGAAGGTGACAGAAGGGAAGTGGGGCTCTGGAGTCGGTTTCGGAGTTCTGGGAGCCTGGAGCGGAGGTCGGGATTGTATGGATATGACAGTAAGTAGTATAGCATTCCCCTTTTAATAACAATAACATCTTTCCACTTCAGTCTAAGTGGCCAGGGACCGTTGTCCTGCATCGGGCCTGTCAGTATGCATGCCTGATCCGCCCCCCACCAGGCTCTCAGCCCCAGATCTACACCCAGGCTCCCTTGACCCTGGACAAGTCCCTGACAAGCACTCACCTGTACATGTTGAATTATGAGTCTTGTCACCATTCAGGCAACATGTCCCATGCACAGCGCTAGTGTGCAACATCCCAAACATGCAACACTGCCTTCCCAATTGGTCCATGCACCAATCAGCTTGTAGCATGGCCTAGATATAAAAAGTGCCATAGTTAAATGCAATAATAGTCAACTTTGGTACTTACTTTAGTCCCTTGTTATCTTGCGAGTGCAGCCACTGATCACCACAGTCTACTCATAACAACAGTATGTGGTAAGAATGTACCCAGTAATGGTTGGCCACCTTGTGATTTCTTGCCAATGCCCTAGTACTGGTGACAGGTTTTGAGATCGAAGCAACAAGTTGGGGGAACTTGATGGTATCTG